TATCAGCATACCCAACATTTCATTAAATAGTTATGAAAGAAAACAGGTGCTCAGCTGAACAAGACCAGACCAACCTAAGTGGTAAAGAACAAACTAATCCATTTGGTGCCAGTTATTTCCTGAAAAGTAATGTAGAAGGCAGAAGCATTTGTGGTTGCCGTTGATAAAAGGTGTCATCTGAAACATTCTGTATGTTATGTCATCATTTGTTGTCCTCTTGTGCCATTGTATGTCAGTCACATAAGGTTCACAGATTATACTTTAGTTTCATTCTGTCTTGTGCAATCAGTTCAATATCATATGTGGAATCCAGTCTAGCAATTTTCACCTCGCTCATCAATGTTTGTTTTTGGGTTTATTTTGGGCATCATCACTTCCTGTCCCTTTGTTTCCCATCTTAGTGCCTGTTTGGTGATTCTTTGCTCATTTCTTTTTAGATTTATCTAATAAAATGCCATCTTCTTTGTCTTGTACCTCTTGGTTCTAGTGGTTGCCCAGACATTCTCTTATTTCTTCAGCCCTCGTGAGTTCATCCCATTTTATGTTCAAAATTTTTCTCAGGCATTTGTTTTCAAATGGATTTTACTTTCGTTCAGTATTTTTAGTAGTTCTCCAACTTTCACTGACATATATGTTAAAACTAAAATAATGTTAGAATATGTTATATACCTTCGAGTTTATTTTGTGGTGTTTTTCCTACGATACTTCTATAATTTGTTAACTGCTTTAAATTTTTTTTTACTAGTAAGATTTCCAGTTCTGACATATCCCTTTCTGAGTCTGTGCAGTAGTGGTTCTCTTCCTAATGCCATGACCCTTTAATACAGTTCCTCATGCAGTGGCAACTCCCAAACATTCAATTATTTGTGTTGCTATTTCCTAACCACTGAATTCGTGTTTTCCGATGGTCTCTGGCGACCCCTTTGAAAAGGTCGTTTGACCAAAAAAAAAGGGGTTGCCCCCGTAGGTTGTGAACTGCTGCTGTAGAGGATATGAAGATATCTTCATGGTGGTCTGTAGTGTGTGCCGCCGTAGCATATCAGCTAGAAACCCGCCTGCAGAACAGAAGGAATAGATTCAAACCCACATCAAACAGGATTATTTTTTTTTAAATGACCTAGGCTTCCAGGTTGACCCAGCAAAAATATGGGTACCAAATAAAGTCCTGGGAAGTAAAGGCGGCCGGTATGATGTTGACCATCTCACTCACCGAGGGTCCACTGGTCTAGGAAATAACAGGTCAAGCATTATATACCCAGTTCAACCGAGACCGTGGAAACAGGTCTTTTAATATATAGAGTGTATTGATTGTGTCTGCAAGAAATGTTCATTCTTCTGCCATTTGTTTTTTTCACCCAATGTAACACCCTCACTAACTCAAGCTGTATCCTGTGCTTTCCCAATTTGATGCATACCTCTTACATATTTTATCTACATATTTTAAAGTCAGCTTTTGTCTTTTACCCTGTGGATTATATTGAAAGGATATTCTTGTTATCATCATCACCATCATCATGATGTGCCATTACATGTCACGTAGGGCTCACAGTTTACTCCCCCATTCTATTCTCTCCTGTGCTATTCCATATCATGGATGGAATCTAGTCCGGCGCCTTTGGCCTCTCTCGTCAGTATTCGTCCTGGGGTTTCTCTTGGCTGTCTTTGTTTTCTCAGCCTAACTGTTCCCATTTAAGTGCTTGTCTGGTGACTCTCTGGTGGCTTCTCCTCAGCCTGTTCCCATTTAAGTGCTTGTCTGGTGACTCTCTGGTGGCTTCTCCTCAGCCTGTTCCCATTTAAGTGCTTGTCTGGTGATTCTCTGGTGGCTTCTCCTCAGCCTGTTCCCATTTAAGTGCTTGTCTGGTGATTCTCTGGTGGCTTCTCCTCAGCCTGTTCCCATTTAAGTGCTTGTCTGGTGATTCTCTGGTGGCTTCTCCTCAGCCTGTTCCCATTTAAGTGCTTGTCTGGTGATTCTCTGGTGGCTTCTCCTCAGCCTGTTCCCATTTAAGTGCTTGTCTGGTAATTCTCTGGTGACTTCTCCTCAGGATGTGCCCAATATGTCATCGTCCTCATGGTCTTATAATTGTTGATATCAGTGGTTGTCCAAACTTTTCTCGTTTCTTTGCCTTAGTTTGCTTTGCGCTCTGGAGGTCGTCGCTTTTTTATGGGTGCGCCTTTCATTTCACACGTGAAATTTTTTAAGGAAATCCCTGGGGATCATCGCCGGAGCTACGGAAGTCATGCTCTATGCAACGCTCTTAGCAGGCAGCTAGCTGTTCTGTGGAGAGAGACTGAGTCACATGTGATAAAACCACAGTGAAATGAAGTCGATCCTCCCACTTTTACCTTTACCATTAACTATCTAGAATTCATCACTTTTAATATTCATCAGTTTCCACAACAAATAACCTGTGTTGTATTTCTTCAGTGTTTCCCCAACTTTCAATAGCATATATTACAATTCTTGTTATACTCAATGTGTTTTGAACTTACTAATGCTTGAAACAACCACAGTTATTTATTGAAGATATTATGTTTATGTAAGATATATTATGCAGAGCCACAAACCTGGTCGTTTATAGTCATTTTTATATTTGAATGTGTGTTTATGTTTTGTCGTGTTTAAAACATTTAATCAACCCTAGTGATTAGTCAACTCTTCCGCTCATGGGCAGAAAATAAACAGAGAAATGAAATATAAAATATCTCACAAATTGTTAAATGCTTCTTTAAGTTTGCCCTGTTGCCATGTGTTAGAGAGAGTATGTATGTGTATAGGTGCAAGTGTGTGCGTGCATGTGGAAAACATTTGTAACAACAAGAGTTGTAAGAGTGTTTGCTTCTTCAGCAGACTCACATAAAAATTCTGCCAACTACCATAAAAATACTGCCAACTACCACTAACAGTGTCATCACAGCCTTGGTTTACCACTTCTATCTTGTGGGTAGGTTGGTTACTGAGCCTGAGGATTGAGGGTCACATGGCTAGGGATGTCAGCATGGACTGTGCAGGTTAGAATTTTAATTTGGCCTCAACAGAAAAACAAAAAACTAATGACCTTACCTAGAATTTGAACCTGAATCTTCTGCATGAAAGCCCAGCATTCTTATCCATTTGACCAACAACACTTCAATGGATAGATTACACACTGACAACATATGATGCTAGAGCAGTGATTCCCAAACTGTGCGCTGCGGCCTTTTCACAGATGTGCCAGACCTCTTCATAGCGCGACCACGAAAAAATTGTAAAAGCTGCATGATTAATTTAACCAAGACACAAATAGTCATACTTTTACTTCGGTAAGGGTGCCATGGATAAAATTGTATTTGAAAAAAGGCGCAGTGACCAAGAAAAATTTAGGAAACACTGTGCTAGAGTAAATACCCTTGTACTGGAACCCACTGGAACACAAATAATTGGATCAGAGAGGGGTGAATGGATCATGGAGGGAGTCTTGCGTGTGTGTTACAAAAGCACTCAGGAGAAGCAAAGAACTGTACCCTAGCAGGTATCATGTAAGAAATTGCCGGGCAGGGTTTCGGTTCGGCTGCCCCTATCTCCTAAACAAAATCCTAATCTCCACTGGGAGATAATGGTAAGAAGCAGATGAAAAGGAGAAAAAAAAGGAAAAGAAATGGGGGGGGGGGGGGGGGGGGGGACAAGGAGGAAGAAAAATATTATGCTACCTGGGTTGAGTTGAGTTGAGTCAAGAATGTTTTCATCTTCAGCAGCTCCAGCGCAGAGTTCCAATACTGATGGTTATTTGTCCGTCTTGCCTCTCCTCTGAGTGTAGTGAGCCGGTCAGACCCTCTGGCTACACCCAAATGCTTCATTCTCTCCAGGCCATAATAATCTTCTTCCTCTACTGATTTCGTTGCTTGTTCCCAAAAGAGCTTTGACCACATCTGCCTTGTCATGTATCAATTCACCATCCAGTGGTGCAGATCCAGCCAATCTGTCTGCCTTTTCATAACCCATCACACTGGCATGTCCCGGAGAGAAGATCTAAAGTATGATCACTACCCGTGACCTTCCTAGTGAAGCTTGCCACTCTGCTCAAAGCATTCCTGTCTTCCCATTCTCAGCATGCTTTCAGAGTCTGTTGCAATTACGACATGTATGCATCTTGTTCTCTAGCGATGCTACCTGGATTATGCTCAATCATTCAATCCCCTGTGTGAGTCAATGGTTTATTCATGGTTTATAATTTTTCCAACGGATCAACATTATTGCACACGTTTATAACCCATAAATACTCCGTTCTACTTTTAACTCAAGCCTGAGTCTGAAGAATCTCAGTGCACTGCACAAACTCCGTTGCACCGGCGAGCATCCTGAAATACTTTAGGTAGATTTTTTAAACTCAAAATTTTGCCAGGGCAGCGCCAACTGCCAAGGAATTTTTTACGTGCGTAACAATACACATGGGCGTCGGATCTAACTACCCAGAGACCAAGGGGAAATTACTAGAAGTCTACGTGAAAAAATCCCAGCCTTCACCAGGGTTTGAACCCGGGACCTCCAGCACTCGAGGCGGATGCCATGCCTCGAGACAACTCAGTCAAGACAGGCCTTTACTCAGCCCCCCCCCCCCCCTTTTCCTCCCCCAAATTAGCTGCGTATCCTTTACAGGACGTTGCAGATCCAACCCCAGCATTTTTTTTTTTTTTGGTTGCTGTTGTGGTTTTTCTAGGCAAATTTATTTACGTCCACTAATTTGCCATTGCTTTCCTGGACAGTCAACTTCTCGATACCACTGTTGAAACCAACGCAAGGCGACAGGCCCGCAGCTGGGATCGAACCCGGCACTATGGCATTACGAAGCGCGTTCACAACGCAACAATGTACGAAGCCCTCACGTCTGCTGCCCCAGCAGACGCTAACTTGTCGTCTGCCAGAGAAGAGGGGAAACTACTCCTGTCGTCTCTCCACCAAAACAATAACAATGGAGGCTGGACAACATTCCCAGGACCCCGAGGACAACCCCAGCCCCAAAAACATGACACATATTGTCCACAGGTATTTGTTTTCTGTATAATTAATTACCTTCTGTTCATGAAATAATCACACTTTTGTTATTTACTGGATTATTGCGTGGTGCAGCTACTCATAAATGGTATCTAGGTCCCCCCGTCAGTTTTTTTCACTTATCTTGTGATCTCGATTTTTTCCCCACCCCCTGCAGCCACACAAATGTCAAAAATATCTTGAAGATAGAAGGTTCATATATGAATATTTAAATAAATCAAGTTACCAGTTCGTGTTGGTTATAAATGATAGGAGGAAACTGTTGATGGTGTTAGTCTTAAATGCTTGTAATAGAAGCTCTATTGATATTATTATTATTTAAAAATAATTGATTGATCGCGTGTGGTGTCTAATTTTAAACGAAAACGTCAGCGCGAGTTACCAGTTAGTCACTTGACAGTTTTGTAGATGATATGTGTTCAGGGGTAAAATTATATTTTACTTCCAGTTAAAGTTACTTCCAGTTTACTTTTGAGTTAAAGTCTTATCTCTTAAAGATCAGGAGACCAGTATTTCCATTGGTGGAGTAACACACATATTGCTTTCTTTGTTTCATCTACTGGTGGTCATACATTTGTATATGCCCATGAACACCGCTTGTGATTGCTGTACAGTTGTTAAAGCTGTGGAGATAATTAACTGTCAGTGTTGTACAGTTGGTTAAAAACCCACGACTATTTCACTCTCAAGAAGCACATGATGTGTTAGTGTTCTTTCATTTGAATGGTGTGTTCTTTAACTTTTCAATTTTGGTCATTGCATTCTGAAGAAATCTGGCTGTCAAACTGGCTACTTTCAGTGTGCATATGGCCTTGTTCAGAATAATGATTTCATGATGTTTTTGTAGTGACATTGTCTTTGCCACTTGAGCAGATGCTTCAGAATAGTCTAGTACTGAAAGAACTAAGAGTTAACTAGTGTGTCGTGTGGCTGGACAGTCAGCAACTTCTTAAAGAGATAAATCCATCTGCAGGTTTGACAACAGATGAAATGCCATTAAACAATCCTAGGATTCTAAAATAACAAATAAAAAACTCTTAATGTTAAGTGTTGCATGTGAATGCTGTTGGCTTTACCAAGACTGCAGTCTATTTCAGTTATTTCACACACAAAGAACACCAGTGTGTGTTCTGTGTTTTCACTGGCACTGAAGCAGGGCACTTGTGGAGTGGCCTGTTTATTTTGCAGTTGAAACTACAATTACTAGTATTTGCAGATAGTGTAGTGGTTGTGCTGTGTGATCTATACATACAGTACTATGTCATTTATGGAAGCAACACGGTATGTGATATGCAATCTCCAAATAATATGCTTTGTGTGATATGTTATTTGCAGAAGATACACTGTATGTGTTATGTTTGTTGTCTATACTTTACAGGACATTGCAGAACCAACCCCAGCAATTTGTTTGACTGTTGTGGGTTAAAAAATATTTTGGGTAGGCAAATTTACATTCAGTAGTTTGGCATGAATGGTCAACTCTGGATACCACTGTCGAAACCAGTGCAAGAGATAGTCTGCTGCCACAATCACCTGCAGCTGGATTTGAACCCATCACCCTGGCATTACCAAGCGTGTACACAACGCCTAAGCCACAGACACCTACTGTGTGTTATGTATCTAACAGATAACATACATTGTGTGGGGTTTTTTAGGTACAAAAATTAACTGCGGATAGTTTCCTCCGACACATTGTGTGTGATATTTGGCTGCCGGAAGCTCACTGTAGTCACGGGACTTACCAGGGTAACTTCAGATTTCCAATAAATTCTGTCTGCTTACTAAAGGAGGGGGTTGTTGATTTTAATTATCAAAGCTTCGGTGATTCTCAACAGTCTCCTGTTCAGAGTGTGGTAAACCACACGGAAAGCAGTGTCTGTGTCAATTACGTGTCCGGAATTGAGTATATGACGTCCTATTGAAGACGCAATATGTTTCAGAAGAAACTATTCGCATTTCAGTTGGACTTCTTCAGTTTTGTGCTTCATTTTATGTTATTGTAACTCTGTAGTAACGCACCTGACGAGATACATCGAAATATGCCTGGCAATAAATTGTGCAATGTATTGTTTGTGTCCGCATTATTTAAATTCATTGCGGGAAAACGTTGTTTTGAACAAAAATTAAAGTTGAATGTTGAATTAAGAATTGACATCACAGCACTCGGGACACACCTATAAGCGCTCCATCCCCATCTGTAGCAGCAAGCGAAGAGTTAAAATTCAGATGGTACCAGTAACTGTCTGATTGTATATCCTTCTCGCCTTTCCCCTGAATGTCGAGCGTCGGCCAGATCCCCTTGTAACTCCTTGCAGTGCCATTCTCCTCAGACCGTAATGATCTCTGTTCCTCGGCACTGTTCACTAGGTCCCAAAGGGCCCTCACAACATCCAGCTTGTCATACATCAGTTCACCACCAAGTGGTAGGTGCAGAAATTCACAATACTTAATATATAAATAACAGATTATATACTTTATGGAGCATAACATTTGCAGAAGATACACTGAATTTATTGTTTAATTTATACAATACACATTCTTGCAAATACAATATACATTCATGCATTTTACAAAGTATATATATATATACAAACATATAATATTAACTTGTTATAGTCACATGATCCACAGAAGCCTAGTTGTTGCCATTGGCTGTGTTTGCACTTGCACATCCTTAGGAAGCTGCAAAACAAAATGGCTTTTAAAAAAATGGATGTGCCTGCTAGACTCAAGTTAACAAGACCAATGTACAGAAGTGGGTGAACAGTCAGAGCTTTCTGCCAGATTTTACAGCTGGTGAATGCGAGGAAGAAAAAGAGGTCAAGAGTCTATGCTCCTTTGGGGAATAAAGAGCAGATGAATGAGAAGAAAATGCAATTATCAGAGTATACACAATGTACATAAAATAGGTAAGTTACTGAAGAACACATAAAGAGTGTTTTACTGTTTAAATTTTGTTTCTTCTTAAATCTATCTAGGCCTTGTATTGAAGATGAAACATTTGAACAAGTTGATATAATCCCATCAAAGCTTCCACCAGCTGGTATCGCACTGGACACAGATTATCTTTTTACATCCCGAACGGAGCCCATGACGCAGGCTCAGTTTGAGGCCATGCTCGACCCTGATGGTCGTCTTATTAATGAACATCAGTTGAGGAAAGCTGTGTTTCTAGGTAAGGTGTAGGTGACCATTTTAAAAGACACTTGAATACAAGAGGAACAACTTCATTGCACCAGGTTTAACTCTCTTAGTCCCAAACAATGCACCGTGTATACTGGATATTACTCGTGTGCACCAGTCAACAAGTCTTGTGTATCTACATCATAAGTGTTGTCAGGAAAACTAAATCAACCCAACAACACAAATCACCCACAATGTTTTGTGTATGTAGACCCTGTAGATGCAGTGTACCCATGATTTTTGTTGTCATCATTGTCAGGCATCTGCTATGAACTTTTGGGACTGAAAGTGTTAACTCCATTTGGCCTAGTCTTTCACTGCAAAGTATCTGAGTGAAAGCTTCATGTAGCTCGGAGCTCAGACTGTGGAACTCTAGTGACCGCCTCTAGAAATCTCCCCAATATATTTGTTTTTAATTTATTATAGTTATTCTAGTAATATTTTAGTTAACATTTATTGCACATGCCTGGAGTTTTCTGTTTACAAATTAGTTAATGTGCACAGAGTACATATAAGTTAATGTTTATAAATTTGTTTATATACAAAACATCCATATAGTTTGTTGTTTATAAATCAGTTGTTATTCACTATCTGCACGTTTCTATCTTATAAATCAATTGGTTTTCAGAATTTGTAGATTTATTTGTTATATGTTATAAATCATGTGTTATACGTATCTACAGATTTATATGTTGTAAATCAGTTTATATACAATATCTACAGATGTGTATGTTTTAAATCAGTTTATGTACAATATCTATAGGTGTATGTATGATAAGTTATGTATCTGTATAGTATGTTATACAGTAGTCTGCATACTTAAAATTTATATAGAGTCCATGAGTTGTTGCATAGAGGCCTTTGAGTCTTCTGTTTACAAATGAGTTGTTACATGGAGGCCTCTGAGTCTTCTATTTACAATTGAGTTGTTACATAAAGGCCTCTGAGTCTTCTATTTACAAATAAGTTGTTGCATAGAGGCCTCTGAGTCTTCTGTTTACAAATAAGTTGTTGCATAGAGGCCTTTGAGTCTTCTGTTTACAAATGAGTTGTTACATAGAGGCCTCTGAGTCTTCTATTTACATAGAGGCCTCTGAGTCTTCTATTTACAAATGAGTGTTATATAGAGACCTTCGAATTTTTACAAATGATGTTGAGAAAGGTAGAAACAGGCATGCTTCGTGCAGAGTGGCAAGCATCACTTCAGAGGTCCCGGGTAGTTAGCATTCTTTGGATATTTTCTCCAGGTCTTGCTGGTGTGGGGGAAATTGAGCAGGCAGATAGACTGGCTGGTTCTGCACCACTTGGTGATGAATTTATGTTTGACAGGTTAGATATTGTGAGGGCACTTTGGAAAAGAGTGAACAGTGCGGAGGCGCAGATAGATCATTATGGTCTAAGGAGAATGACGCTACGAGGAGTTACCAGGGAATCTGGCTGACGCTCAACACTCAGGGGAAGGATGAGACGGGTATACAGTCAGACGGTTACTGGTACCATAGGACTATGAGCTCTTCGCTTGCTGCTGAAGATGATGACTGAGCACTTATGGGAGCATCCTGAGTGCTGTGATGTTGATTCTTAATTCAACATTTAACATATTTGCAAATGAGTTATTGTATAGAGGTTGTATATATTTTTTTTTTTCACAAGTGAGTTGTTATATAAAAGAGTCTTTAGTGTTTTCCATTGACAGATAAACCGTTAACACATTAGTTGTTAGTCCACATAGTTGTGTCTTTAACCTTTAACCCCTTCCGTCTTGTAGGGGGTGTCTGTGAGAACATTAGGAAGGAAGTCTGGTCATTCTTGTTTGGCTTGTACCCCTGTAACTCTACAGCCAGGTTAGTGATTGTACACACTTGTACACAGTCTGGGTATCATTGCTTACTGTGTATCATTGCACATTGTGTATCATTGCATTATGTATCATTGTACATTGTGTATCATGGTATTATGTATCATTGCTTGCTGTGTATCATTGCACATTGTGTATCATTGCATTATGTATCATTGTTTGATGTGTATCATTGTACATTGTGTATCATTGTATTATGTATCATTGCTTACTGTGTATCATTGTGCATTGTGTATCATGGTATTATGTATCATTGCTTGTGCTGTTGGAGATTGTGAGGTGTGTAGATACTTGTGACAGTTGATACAGATGTTTAAAGGAGATTGTGAGGTGTGTAGATACTTGTGACAGTTGATACAGATGTTTACAGGAGATTGTGAGGTGTGTAGATACTTGTGACAGTTGAGACAGATGTTTAAAGGAGATTCTGAGGTGTGTAGATACTTGTGACAGTTGATACAGATGTTTACAGGAGATTGTGAGGTGTGTAGATACTTGTGACAGTTGAGACAGATGTTTAAAGGAGATTGTGAGGTGTGTAGATACTTGTGACAGTTGAGACAGATGTTTACATACAAGAGGAATAATTTAATTGCAGTGGGGTTTTTCTTCTTCTCCTTCTTCTTTTGTTCATCTGAAATAAGTTGTCTGTGTCAGCAGCTTTGTCTCTGATATAAATGTCACTGTCCCTTTTAATTCATTCAGTGGTCTGTAGAGTTTACAATCCACTGTTGTTCTTTCGAGTCAACATATTTGAATTATTGAATCTACTTCTTCTTCTTCTTCTTTCGTTCGCCTGAATTAAGTTGTCTATATCAGCAGTTTTGTCTCTTGTATAAATTTCACTGTTGTTGTTAGTTCATTCAGTAGTCCATAGAGTTTACGTTCCACTGTTGTTCTTTCTGGCCAAAAGGTTTGCCTTAATGTGTCAAATTCGGTGCAGTCCTGGAGTACATGCTCTGCTGTCTGGGGCACCTCTCCACAGCTGCACATGGCTGATACGCCTATCTTGAATTCTGTGTACATGTGGTTGCATAATCAGTTGTGCCCTGTTCTGAGGCGGAGGATAATGACTTGTTCTGATCTGTCCATAATAAAATAGTCGTCTTGTGCTGGGGCTGGTGGTTTCCTGATCAATTTAATTATCTTTTTCTTTTTGTGGTATGCAACTGGTACATCCGGCTGCTCTTTTGTTACACTTTCTCTACCAGTTTAATCAGCTTTCTCATTTTCTGGCACTCCACAATAGGACGGTATCCACTGAATTGTGACTCTTCACTGACAGTGTTTGCAATTCTGGTAGAGACTGGGGTGCTGAGATTTGTCTGATCTGACTCTGTCTACACAGAGCGGATGTTGCCTGCCAGGAGGGTCACACTGTTGCTCTAAAGGAGAACTTCTTGCAGACAATTGGCAGATAGCTTTACAACTTTACTGCTGGGGTCTTGGTGGCAAGCATTGTGATACTTGAACCTGTAACAAAGTGGTTGTGTTTCATTCTGAACAGATGACCTGACCTTCACCCTTGTTAACCTAACCTTCACCCTTGTTAACCTAACCTTCACCCTTGTTAACGTAACCTTCACCCTTGTTAACCTAACCTTCACCCTTGTTAACCTAACCTTCACCCTTGTTAACGTAACCTTCACCCTTGTTAACCTAACCTTCACCCTTGTTAACCTAACCTTCACTCTTGTTAACCTAACCTTCACCCTTGTTAACAGTGTCAAAAGAAGAAGCTGATACTGTCGCCGGTTACTGATTGTGGTTTCAGTCTGAGTGGATTCAATCAGCTTTAACAGGGTCATTTCTTCTTTATCTTTGGCTTTGCCTCTTCTTTCTTTTTCTTCTTTTTCTCCTCCTCCTTATTCTTATTCTCTTCTTCTTCTTCTGTGTTTGCCCGTAAAATTCTTTGGCACATTGGTCATGGTTCGCAGCAAAGGTGTGATATATGCACATTTCGACCCAACACATCTGATGGCAGCAAATCCCTAATTACCTGCATTTTACTTGATTGTTGGGGGCGGGGTAGATGGAGTAATAGATCTATTCCCCCACCCCCTTCCTACCCGAATGATAGGGAAGTAGGACAACAGAGGGAAGTAGGACAACAGAGGGAAGTAGGACAACAGAGGGAAGTAGGACAACAGAGGGAAGTAGGACAACAGAGGGAAGTAGGACAACAGAGGGAAGTAGGACAACAGAGGGAAGTAGGACAACAGAGGGAAGTAGGACAACAGAGGGAAGTAGGACAACAGAGGGAAGTAGGACAACAGAGGGAATGAGGACAACAGAGGGAAGTAGGACAACAGAGGGAAATAGGACAACAGAGGGAAGTAGGACAACAGAGGGAAGTAGGACAACAGAGGGAAGTAGGACAACAGAGGGAAGTAGGACAACAGTGACATTAGATGTTGATACTCTAACTGTTGGTGATTCCGTTTTTATGGATGAAGCATTCTTCAGCAGAACAGCAATGATATCATGTGATGATTGTCCCACGTTTGTGTTCTCTCGTATTTTCTAGGGAGAGGGAGGCCATGCTTATTGACAACGCTGTCCGCTACCACGAAATGAAAGCCAGATGGAAAACCATGTTAGTGCTCAGTTCTCTCCCGAGTTGTAAGTGACTTATATGTTTCTTATACTCAGTTATCATCATCATCATAACATTTTGTGTGTGCCATAATTCTTCTTATTATTATTATTCCTTTTCTTATTCTTATTTTTTTTTTCCTTAGACTCTGTTCTGTCTTTCAGCGAGTTTGTGAAAAGAATATATTGATAGCCTTGGTGTGTTCTGCATGGATGATTGTATTCATGGCTTCATATATTCCATCTATCCATTGTATGCATGGGTGACCTCCAGCTATGCTTATGTTGTGTCTCAGTGACAAGGCTCTGTGTTTATCATGCAGATCGATTCAGTGTCTCTTCTTATTGTTTGCTTATGCAAGTTTTGATCCCCTGCTGTCTTGCTGGGCCTCTCACAGTTTCTAGAAGTTTTGATTCCCTGCTGTCTTGCTGGGCCCTTCACAGTTTCTAGAAGTTTTTATCCCCTGCTGTCTTGCTGGGCCCCTCACAGTTTCTAGAAGTTTTTATCCCCTGCTGTCTTGCTGGGCCTCTCACAGCTTCTAGAAGTTTTGATCCCCTGCTGTCTTGCTGGGCCTCTCAGAGTTTCTAGAAGTTTTTATCCTCTGCTGTCTTGCTGGGCCCCTCACAGTTTCTAGAAGTTTTTATCCCCTGCTGTCTTGCTGGGCCCCTCACAGTTTCTAGAAGTTTTTAAGCAGGTGGCGAGCCGAAGCCCTGTTAGTCTGAGACCATTTGTCAGATGCAGATTTCTAAATCTTGTCAAATGGTGTAGAATTCTTGTCTCTCAGCTATTCTTGTCTTTAGTGTTCTGGTTTAGTTCTCTTATTTACTTTAGCTATCCAAGGTAAGGACAAGATTTGTATTTGAGTCCCTACTGAACAAGAATCTCATTCTTCTTCTTAAAGTCCATGCCGTATGGCATTGGTAGTCATGTCTATCCACAACCTTCTGTCTTGTGTACTTTCAGTCAACTCTGACAGAGATGATCCTCCATAAGAGTCAACTGATTAGGAGCTTCCTGTGAAGTCACAGTGCCTTAGTCTAAGTGGTAAGGAACCATCAGACTACATACAAATGAGCCGGATATGTAAAGTGGATGTGCACGCAGAATTCAAGTTCTGGAACAGGACTGAAGTCCAAAAGTGGATGAACACCCAGAACATTCCCACAGAGGATAAATGAGAAAAAGAAGATCATTTTTATCATCATCGTCATTGTCATATTTAAGATCACCACCACCAGAACCACCACCATTCTCCCAACTTGATCCACAATTCCTTGTTGCCAGCCAGCCCCCTAGAGCAGGGCCTCTACGCCAGGTACCAGTTACCCGAGGACCCGTGTCCCGTCTCGCCCGACATCACCCACAGATCTGTGTCAGAAGATGTCTTCAGTGAAAGAATGAAAGCTGCCATGTGTTTTAATCATCTGGGTAAACATTTTTGTTGTTTTAGTTTGTGAATAACATTTTGTTTCACTAAATTGTCCGTCTTAGCAGCAGAGGCTGGATCATGCTGACAGTGAGATACCAGAAGTCTGTGGAGGAAGAATTACCACCATAGAAGTAATCCTAGGTGATCTGAAGAGGAAATGCAGCCTCTTTTACCCTGAGAGGCTTATAAATTGGTTTTGCCGCTCATTACCCATTTGTACAAAACCTGTAAATCTGCTTCGCTGCAATAACTAGTTTTTGACAAGCCTGGTTGATGACATTGGTTCTGTTTGCACCTGCATGGTGAAATATTGGAAGTCTGTGAGGAAGAATTACCACATTAGGAGTAATTCCAGGCAGTCTGTGGGAACAGTTGTCATAGGAAGAGGAAATGCAGTCTGAGAACTTAAAACCTTTTTTTTTCAACTAAGGGACTTATGAATAGGCTTCACCATCCTTTACAATTGCCAGTGTAGCATGGTGTTTAGGAGGGCTGGTTATGCTTCATCATCATCATGTGCCCTGCCAACTGGCGTAGGCACTCATGCATCTCCACAGATCACGATCCCTGGTTGCCTGGAACAGCTCTCTTGATGATATGCCTCCATGCCATCGTTTCAGCCCATCCAGCATCATCTCTCTTGGTCTGCCTCTAACACTTTTTCCTTTGATTTTCCAGCTGTCACGATGTTCTCCAATGTCTCTCTTCTCATTATTTGGCCAAACAACAGTGTTTGATTCTTTCTTATTGCTGCATATAGAGTGGTTATGATTGTATTTATTAAAAAAAGCATTAGGGGATAAGGGGTGGGTGTGAGAAAAATCAGTGACAAGTTACTGAATGTCAAATTACCTAGTAAAATCACAAACAATAAAAAACAAACAAAAACAAATGCTGATGTTTTATTCTACAGCTGACTGCCTTCTGATTTGTATCCATTCTCTTCTTCTTCTTCCTCTTCTTCTTCTCATTCACCAGCTGTAAACTCTGGCGGAAAGTTCTGGTTGTTCATCCACTTCTGGACTGAAGTCCTCTTCCAGAACCTGAGTATTGCGTCTGCATCTGTTTGACAGATCTGACTCATTTGTATGCAGACTGCTGGTTCCTTGCCTCTCAGGCAGATGCACTCCGACTTTGAAGGAAGCTCACAGTTAAGTCGACTCTTACGAATTGCTTTTGGGTAGGCAGTGGGTCAATTCTTGTTTTCCCTATAACAGGGCTTCGGAATCCACACTGGGAGTTTCAGTTCAACTCTTTTGTGTTTGCACATTTTGTCTCTCTGTTGCCTACCATTTTCTCTATGTCTCCAAATTGTAGCAGACAGGAAAAACTATAGATGGTTCACAACCTTGACACAGGCTTGTTTATCTTGTGCCTCAGACAGAATCGACTTCACCACACTTGGCTACCCCAACTTAGAGGAACAGTACAGTTCTCCTGAGATCTTGCAGAAGATTGAGTTCATGAGACTCCAGGCCCAGGTAAGCGAAGATTCCAGTGGAGTGTGTCATTCTCTAGCATTCATCTGTGGATGAGTTTGATTGTTAGTGTGACCTACATAGGACGTTGTTAGTGTGACCTACATAGGACGTTGTTAGTGTGACCTACATAGGACATTGTTAGTGTGACCTACATAGGACATTGTTAGTGTGACCTACATAGGACGTTGTTAGTGTGACCTACATAGGACGTTGTTAGTGTGACCTACATAGGACATTGTTAGTGTGACCTACATAGGACGTTGTTAGTGTGACCTACATAGGACGTTGTTAGTGTGACCTACATAGGACATTGTTAGTGTGACCTACATAGGACATTGTTAGTGTGACCTACATAGGACATTGTTAGTGTGACCTACATAGGGCATTGTTAGTGTGACCTACATAGGACGTTGTTAGTGTGACCTACATAGGATGTTGTTAGTGTGACCTACATAGGGTGTTGTTAGTGTGACCTACATAGGACGTTGTTAGTGTGACCTACATAGGACATTGTTAGTGTGACCTACATAGGACATTGTTAGTGTGACCTACATAGGACATTGTTAGTGTGACCTACATAGGACGTTGTTAGTGTGACCTACATAGGATGTTGTTAGTGTGACCTACATAGGATGTTGTTAGTGTGACCTACATAGGATGTTGTTAGTGTGACCTACATAGGATGTTGTTAATGTGACCTACATAGGACGTTGTTAGTGTGACCTACATAGGACATTGTTAGTGTGACTTATTAAACAATAATTGTTTTTTTTTTATAACTTAATAATTCATGATTGATCATTATCAGTCACTGATTTGTGATTGATTATGTATAGCTCAGTAATTCATGGCTGATCACATATCGATCATTAAATCATGACTGGCTGTGAATAAGTCAGTCAGTCAAGATTGGTCATTATGGGCCAGTAGATCATGATCAGTCATATATTTATCAGTAAATCCTGATTCATCAGTGTAAGGACCAGTAAGTTAGTATTGGCCGTATGGATCAGCAAATCATGATTGTACATTTATGGATCAGCAAATCATGATTGGACATTTTGGGATAAGCAAATCATGATTGGACATTTTTGGATCAGTAAATCATGATTAATCATGTTTTATGAGGTACCTAGTTTGCTCTCAGCATAAGGATGAACATTCAGTCACAGAAAGTGGCTCTAAGAGCTAGTGAAAAGCATAGAGATAAATATCTGGGTGGCTCGATCACATGAATGGAGCGGGACAAGAGCACTGGCCTAATCCATGATTCTTATTATTGTGTGGCATGATGAAACATGGCCGCTATTCTTATTTGTAGGGCACCTGATAATTAAAGTTGGTTTTAATTGTGTCCCTTTCCCCTCTCGACCTCTTAGAGAGTGAGATCTGATACCTAACCTTCTCACATAAGGGTAGTGAAAACTAGGTCCTGCAAGCAAGTTGTATAAATGAAGAATCTCACATCCGAAATTGTGTAGCATAGATGATTAGGCTGCTGTTTTTGCAGTATTATGGGAGGGGGGGGGGGGGGGGTGACATAAAGACCAACTCTAAGGGTTATAGATTATTGTCCTGTTCATACTTTTTGGGCTGTGACTACAATAGATAATATTCAGAGAGTATTTTGATAATATTAATGTTAATATTACCTCATCGCAATCAGGGTCACAGCACATTGGGCATTTCCATGCATTCCCTACCCTCCAATGCAGTAGCCAATCTATGGTACCTCTACTAATTGTTCCCATTTATTGATTGTTCCCATGAGGAGTTGGTTATAATGTCTCATGTCTCGGCCTCAGACATGGCATAGATATGCTTCACCATGCTTTACTCCGAGGTCTTGCAATTGTGTTAGTATCAGAGAGTCATCCCTACCCACTAGCTAAGCCTGTACAACCCTGATGATGACATTAATGCAATAACCTATAGGTAGATAGAACCTGTTTGCTCTGAATGCATCTGTCTAGAATTAGCACTGTCACAGTGACATATGAGCTCTTCAGTTACGTAAGTACATAATTAGGTGTGATATACTTCTTTCCCAAAAAAATAATAATTGTGTTTGTTTCGTTTCTTTCTACGTTAGGAGTGCTAAGCAGTTGTGTTCTTAAGTAGGATGGTCAATCTTGATTACAGGTTTCTTTGATTTTTTGTGTGTGTGGCCAGGTACAAGTGAATCGTCACAAGATTGAAATGGCAAAACTGAAAGCTAACATTCGAGTCATTGACAAGGATGTACCACGGACTGACCGCGACCAAGAGTTTTTCAAGTGAGCTTAAGCACTTGTCTGCTCTGTTTTTGTTTATGTCATGACTTCTTCTGTTAAATAAAATACAAAATGTGACTGGACCCTCGACGGACAGGATGGAAAATACTCCACTGGTAAAGACTGTGGCCGAAACATTCGGTTGTATTTGTCTGTGTCTCTCCCATTACTTTCGTTGAGCTTTCTAGTCACATTTTGTGTTATATTTCGCATTGCTTGCAATCAGCTCGACTGCAGTCACCCCCTGTCTACTTCTGTGTCTGGCCTTAGAGTGGTTTGTGTGTTGGGATTTACAGCTAGACTGTGATATCTACGCCTTCTGACCCAACACATCCAGTTTCAGCAAACCACTAATTAGTTGCCTTTTATGACATGCTTTCGGGGGGGAGGAGGTGGAGACGCAATGGGTCTGATTTTTCTCCTCCATATCTGGGCCCCAGAAACTTCATTGGGAGATGTCATGTCTTACTGTTTGATGGGCAGTTTCATTTTTTACTGTTTGATGGGCAGTTTCATATCTGACTGTGGTTACGGGTGTCGTATTTGACAATGTAGTTTGAAATGTTATGCTATAAATGCCAAACGTGGACACTTACATCCTCCAACGAACGTAAAATTGTGACAACAGAGATGAAATGCCTTAGAAGAGCTGCAGGAGTTTCAAGAAAAGGCAGAATACGAAATCATGAACATCAGACGAATACTAGGAATAAAGCCAGTCTTACAGGTCATTAAAGAACAACAAATGAAGTGGTTTGGACACCTAACAAGAATGCCCTGGTACTATCTGCCACAGCGAGCCACACTAAAATGTTACAACGGGAATAGAGCGAGTGGAAGACCTCGGAAAAGATTTTTTTTAAGTCGAGTTTCATTACGACCTGAAACCATGAGTGAATGACTTTCAACCCCACTAGGACCGCACAATGAGCGACAAACACCCGGTGACACAAAGTGCCACCATTTGGATGAGTATCACCAGGGCACAAGTCTCAGAAACCCTGTTCAACTGTTAGGTTTTATTAGAGCTCCCAAATACAACGGGGATGGGGCTTTAGAATAACAAAAAATTGTGTCCCACGTTGGGCAAGGTTAACCTGAACCCACGACCTTTGGATCGCAGGCTAGTATCTAGCTGCTAAACCAGGGCGGCCTCCCAAATATAATGAAAGTAATCATAAAATAGGAGTGATAATCGTAGAGGTGGCAGTAGTTCTAACAATAATGTCCATGTGATAATCATAGTAGTAGGAATCAAACAAAACCTCTGATTCATCAATCTTCTTCTTCTTCTTCTTCAGCATTCTGAGCCCTTGAGGTTCATTGCTGCAGATATCATCAGCCTCCGTTCATCTCTCTGGTTTGCATTCTCTTTCCATTTGATGACACCAAGTGTTTGTAGTCTGTCTGGACATTATCTCTCCATCATATTCTTGATCTCCCTCGTGGTCTACAACCATTCATGTCCCTTGTGTATACAGTTTTTACCACTCTGTCATCTGACATTCTTTCAGTATGTCCCATCCATTTCAGTCTATTAGCTATCATGATGCCAATCATCAGTGGTGATTTAAACAGACTATGAATTTTGTTGTTGCTTCTCACTCTCCACTGCCCACTGTTTGCATCTTTGATGAGTCCAAAGATTTGATGCAAGACTAATTATGAAAATTTGAAATAAGGCTTCATCCATAAATAGTAACAATTAATATAGCTTTATGATAGCTCATAAACTTATTCCTATGAAACAAAAATAATTGCTTCCACTGTTCTTTCACACATTTATCATTTAGTTTTAACTTTTGACTCATCACATATTCTCTACTGTATGTGCAGAAGTCAAGGCTTAACCTTTGACCTTTCACATATTCTCTACTGTATGTGCAGAAGTCAAGGCTTAATCTTTGACCTATCACATATTCTCTACTGTATGTGCAGAAGTCAAGGCTTAATCTTTGACCCATCACATATTCTCTACTGTATGTGCAGAGGTAAAGGCTTAATCTTTGACCTATCACATATTCTCTACTGTATGTGCAGAGGTAAAGGCTTAATCTTTGACCTATCACATATTCTCTACTGTATGTGCAGAGGTAAAGGCTTAATCTTTGACCTATCACATATTCTCTACTGTATGTGCAGAGGTAAAGGCTTAATCTTTGACCTATCACATATTCTCTACTGTATGTGCAGAGGTAAAGGCTTAATCTTTGACCTATCACATATTCTCTACTGTATGTGCAGAGGTAAAGGCTTAATCTTTGACCTATCACATATTCTCTACTGTATGTGCAGAGGTAAAGGCTTAATCTTTGACCTATCACATATTCTCTACTGTATGTGCAGAGGTAAAGGCTTAATCGTTGACCTATCACATATTCTCTACTGTATGTGCAGAGGTAAAGGCAACCCTCGTTTGTCCGAGCTGAGGGAAATACTCATCACGTTCGCCGCTTACCATGACCATCTGGGCTACGCACAAGGCATGAATGACATACTGTCCAGATTTTTGTTCGTCATGCGTTCCGAGGTAAGTCACGAGACGGACTAAAGCCTTAATAGACTTTGACTGCCTTTGGCGCTGGGAGATTTGTATAACAAATCTGTCAGTTTATTTGTCAGTTATTGTTTATTTAAAAGTTATTATTGTTTGTTAAAGGTTTATTATTCTTTGTTAAAAGATTAATATTGTTTGTTACAAGTTTATTAATGTGTCTTAAACAGTCTATTATTGTTTGAAGTTTATTATTGTTTGTTAACAAGTTTAGTCATGTTTGTTCAACAGTTTTATTATTGTTTGTTAACAAGTTTATTGCATGAGTGATTGACTCAGTGGCTAGAACTCTCGACCTTCATGTAGGAAGCCCAGGTTCAATCCTTGGAAGATAATGGAAGTTGTTTTTCTGTCAAGGAAAATAGGTTGATAGAACAGCTGTGTCGCGTGCGAATGTGCACTAGAACGCACCAGTACTGAGTGAGCAAATAAGACGTCAAAACAATACGTAACATCATGAAGGTATTGTTGTCAAAGGCAGTTGATGTTTACAGTCCGAAGGAGACGGACGTGTGGATCCCTGAGGACGCTTTACCCCGGGATCCCACGGAAGCAAACGTTGTATAAAGTTGGATCCTTGAGGACATACGCACGTCACAAGCTGCTGTCACTCCTTTGGTCTTTAACCTACTTTATGATAAATGAAATATTGTGAAGTGATTTCCGAAATCAAGTGGACAGTGCAACAGAGAAGAGTGCCCATACCTTGGAAGACTAATTCATCTGTGGGTAAGCCAGGGTTCTTGACCGTGTTTGACACTGATGGGAAAATACAGGCAGACTTTTAATCACACTGCAATGGTTCTGTTAGCATAGGGACTCTGCGTTGACTGCTGAGAGAGGAGAAGGTGCACATGTGGGAATGTCCCAAGTGAATATCCCGAGTGCGTTGATGTCCATTCATTGATTCCTTTATTCTGTCAGCGGCAGAAATATGCATCCTAACCCGGCACAGTTCATGGCAACTGCACTAAACATGTGACCCTAAATTATCAGACTCAAGGCACTCCCCACCCACTACAGACAGAAAAGACAGGTTTTTTTTGTTAAAGTTCATATTTCTTCTCATGGGGCATCCGTGGCTTTGGCGTTACGAGTCTGACTCATAATTCCAATGTACCACGATCAAAACACTCTGCTGGCTGCGTGGTGGACTTTTATCATGGTATAGGATGTCGCAGGTCACCCTAGCCTATAATGGGTACCAGGATGGATGTCCTGGGGAAGTAAATGCTGACCACATTATCCACCAAGTCTTTGGGAGCGTGTCAACAGTGAGGAGGCACAGATAGATCATTACGGTCTGAGGAGAAGGACGCTTCATTGAGTTACCAGGTAATCTGACAGATGCTCAACACAAGGGAAAGGGCAAGACGGATATACAATCAGACAGTTACGGGTGTAGTCGAAATTTCAACTCCTCATTTGCTGCTGAAGATGGGAACGGAGCACTTATGGGGGTGTCCCGAGTGCTGTGATGTCAATTCTTAATTCAGCATTCAACATTCATTTCTGTAGCTGACTCAGTCCTGGGGATGGGGTGGGAGATCATAGTTGAGACCTGGGTGAGGCAGAAATGTTGACAATAAAACATGGGTGTTCTACATCCACAGGGGTCAAATGCTTAACACTTATAGCAGACTGGCAATGTCTGTTGTTGATACCATTTTCTGTTATCCATCATACTGTGATCATTTCATGTCATATTCTGTGATGTTATGTAGTGCCATATTGTATTTCTCTTGTCACATTAAAGTTGTGTTATGTCAGATATATTCTTCTTTTACTTCTTCTTCTTCTTTCTCTTTTGCATTTCGAGCCCTTAAGGTTCATTGCTGCAGTATCACCTGCCTCTGTTCATCTCTGTCAGTGGCCTTCTCTTTTCACTTGCTGATTACTGATGTTTGTAGATCTGCTTGGATATTATCTCTCTACTGTCTACTTGATCTGCCTCCTGGTCTGCTCCCATTCAACTTTTTTGTGTACCCACTCTTTTTTTTGTCTCGGCTATCTGCCATTCTCTTGATATGTTCCAGCAATTGCAGTCTATTGTTGCCTGTAACTAGTGTTGCCTGTAACTAGTGTTGCCTGTAACTAGTGTTGCCTGTAACTAGTGTTGCCTGTAACTAGTGTTGCCTGTAACTAGTGTTGCCTGTAACTAGTGTTGCCTGTAACTAGTGTTGCCTGTAACTAGTGTTGCCTGTAACTAGTGTTGCCTGTAACTAGTGGTGATCTAAACAGATAATGAATTTCATTGTTGCTTTTCTGTCTTCTTTCTCCACTGTTTGCAACTTTTCCATACAAAACAAAAGATGTGATCATCAAGGAAGATTTGCTAACAAGCAGCATCTTGTTTCAGAAACTGAAATAGTTTTGCTATAACCAACACTACAGCAGAAAGGGAGACAAATAATAGCAGAAGGCATGGTACTGGTAAAGGGGAAAGGGCTGACCTTTGTGGAGATGGGCACAGGATATAAGTAGAAAAGTGTGTAGGAAAGTGCTCGAGGCCGGGGGAGCTGGTGAGTCACCGAGTTTCTTTTTTCCCCTTTTTTGTAGCTCTCCCCCTCCCCCCTCCTAATTCCTTGATGAGAGCAATGTTCTCTGAGGTGAGGATGATGATGATTATCACATATGACATGTTCTGATCATTGTGGTGTCGTCCCCTTGATGTTTCAGGTGGAGACCTACTGGTGTTTCAAAACCTACATAGAAAAGATCGGCAATGATTTCATGGAGGAGGGCATGATACGCAAAGTTGGTGAGAGATTTTCTGTGTGAACTTGACTGAATGCCTCAGACTCTTTTTGTGGGGTTTCTAGGTCCCATTAGTGTATGTATGTATATGTGTGTGTGTGTGAGGGGGGGGGGGGGGTTGAGAAAAGACCAACTGCCAGTTAGCAAGCGTGTAATAAAAAGATACTATTTAAAGACTTGCTGACATTGGATGTGTTGGATTTAAAGGTGCAAAAAAAAGGTGAGAGACAAAGACTAAAATGGTTCGGCCACATAGAATGAATCAAATGTTAACAAGCAGCCAGAGTGTGAAAACATGAAAATGGAAACGCAAAGCACAGCATATCAAACAGCCGATTGCGCCCTAGCTTGGCTACTTATCTGGTAAATAAACTGCAATGCCATCAGCACGAAGAAGAAAGTGATACAAGCAGATAGTGATACAAGCAGATAGTGATACAAGCAGATAGTGATACAAGAAGATAGTGATACAAGCTGAAAGAAAAGCTAACTGCTTTCTCTCTTTTCTTACACAACCCAAAAAAGAATAATTGCTGGAGCTTCGAAGTTCATGCTCTGTGCTTGATGCCATAAAGGAGAAGATATACAATCAGGCTCTTACTGGTACTGTCAGAATTGAAACAATTTTTGCTGCTGAAGATGGGGAAGGAGCACTTATGGGAATGTCCAGAGCGCTGTGATATCAATTCCTAATACACCTTTCAGTGCTCTTTCACAACCAACATCTCCCTGATACCCTACAGACCTTGTAAGGTTGGCAACATAACCAAGACCGCAGTGACATTTTCAAATATACTTGGGTATTTGGCCATTGAGTTAATCGTGTATGTCGATTCCTCCCTACCAAATATATGGTTGACACATTCCGTTTCTGGGGACAGCTTTTATCGAGTTTGCTCTCTAGACAGTTGCAGTCTCCTGCTGACGAGATTCTGTCTTCCCGAGTGGAGCGCCGCGATCAAAACATTGCGAAGGCAGCGTGGTCGAGGCTGCCAAAACTATCGGTCATTATCCCGCCCCGACACAGCACAACCACAATACACGCTGTTCCCACGAAAAACACATAATATCCTGCGTTGGAAATGCGCATAAAATAGCAGTCCATGATTATGAAACAGAACAATCCAAGAGAATTGACAGCCAGCGAAAATAAACACAGCTGCTGTCCGTCATTTTGAAAACGGAAGTCTCACTTGGGTATTTGATTTGGCTTTGCTGGAGATCAGTTCCAGAAAGACTTCACCTCCGTTAGCTGTGACATGTTAATATTTCAATGTTCTGGTTGTTGGTTCCTCAGAGCTGGTGAGACTGCTGCTCCAGGAGATGGACCCAGAGCTGCACAAACACCTGGAGAAGATTGAGCTTGGGAATCTGTTCTTCTGTCACAGGTAGCATCACTGTCACTGTCAGATGCATGGTCAATAGACAGCAGCACTGTAGCTAATATATATTGTCATTTTTCTGTCTGTCCAGACCATAGTGTTCAGACCATAGTGTTATGTTGTACTGTGCTATCAGGAGGTATGAAAGTCCAGCCCATTGCGATGGCGGGTGTGACTAGCAGGTCTGATCATGTTATAAAAACTCTTCCACACTTAGAGCATGGAATGTCAGTTACAATATTGCCCTCACATGTGTTTAGTATGCTTCTTCTCAGACGCTCAGCTCTCAACTTTTCTGTAAGCATTTGTCCCCCCTTATTCCCATTCCCTTCCTGGTACTTATCATGAACTTGCCCGCACAGTGAGAGTTTCTTCCCCTCCCATTCATGCCACAGCCGGTGGCACACCTGACCTATGTTGTGGGGGTGTCATGTATTCCTTATTTTAAATGGTTTAACCGTTGTCTGCTTTCTCGTGTTGTCACTGCTCACTTGCATTATTATTTCCACATTGTGTATTTTGTCTGAAGGTTCGTGAGTATTGAAACTGTGATGTTTTTGTATTTCTGCATTTCTTGTCAGTGCTTCTTTTTCTGAGAGGAAGCAACCGTCAAGGAATGTAGCAGTGCAAAAACATCCCAGTTTTAGTACTCATAAACAGCTGTGCCTTCAGCACTTCCTGCTGCAATACTTCCAACTTGTACACAACCGCCTGCGATGCCTCAAAGAGACTTATGACAACACAACCAGCCACAAACATTATTTATGGGGAGCAAACACTGAACCAAGCATAACATCCCCACAGCATAGGACAGGCTATGCAACCGGCGGAGGTGTGAATGGGAGGGGACAGAACTCTTGCCGTGGGGGCAAGTTTGTGAGAAGTTCCCCTTCTTGATTTTCCTCTCTTTGCAACACTGTCCTTGTCAGTTTGTTACTGTATCTATCTCAAGTTGTATAATACAGCTGTAATATAACAGAGGAGTTGATGTAGTGTAGTAGCTAGACACAGGCCTGCATATCTGAAGCTCATGGGTTTAGGTCCTGACAGAGCCCGACTTTTTTTTTTAATGACCTTGACTCCCAGGTTGATCCAGTCTTAAATAGGTACTAGGTTAAATCCTGGGAAGTAAAGGCGGCTGGTGGATGTTGACCACATTACCTACTGTATTCTTATTGGTCAATTAAATATAGGGTTTGACCCTATCAGCCATGCATGTCTAAAGGCATGGAAAAGTGTCTTTTTCTTGTTGCTTACTTATAATAGAGCAACTGTTGGCAGTATAAAGCACTATCATAGCTAACATTTAGCAACTGTGTAGCTAACATGGGACCATGCCATGGTAGCATGTGACAACTTTGTAGCTGGCGTCTGTTAACTCTTTCTGTAGCATGAAGCTACTCTGGAACTGTTGTACAGCAACTCTGAAGCCAGCATACTTCCCTGCTTATTCCAGTCCCATAGCCTTCAAATAACATTTCTACTGTATAGTAGTTTGCGATATGTTGCAACTTCAGATGTTGTATAGTAGTTTGTGATATGTTGCAACTTCAGATGTTGTATAGTAGTTTGTGATATGTTGCAACTTCAGATGTTGTATAGTAGTTTGTGATATGTTGCAACTTCAGATGTTGTATAGTAGTTTGTGATATGTTGCAACTTCAGATGTTGTATAGTAGTTTGTGATATGTTGCAACTTCAGATGTTGTATAGTAGTTTGCGATATGTTGCAACTTCAGATGTTGTATAGTAGTTTGTGATATGTTGCAACTTCAGATGTTGTATAGTAGTTTGTGATATGTTGCAACTTCAGATGTTGTATAGTAGTTTGTGATATGTTGCAACTTCAGATGTTGTATAGTAGTTTGCGATATGTTGCAACTTCAGATGTTGTATAGTAGTTTGCGATATGTTGCAACTTCAGATGTTGTATAGTAGTTTGTGATATGTTGCAACTTCAGATGTTGTATAGTAGTTTGCGATGTGTTGCAACTTCAGATGTTGTATAGTAGTTTGCGATATGTTGCAACTTCAGATGTTGTATAGTAGTTTGTGATATGTTGCAACTTCAGATGTTGTATAGTAGTTTGCAATGTGTTGCAACTTCAGATGTTGTATAGCAGTTTGCAATGTGTTGCAACTTCAGATGTTGTATAGTAGTTTGCAATGTGTTGCAACTTCAGATGTTGTATAGCAGTTTGCAATGTGTTGCAACTTCAGATGTTGTATAGTAGTTTGCGATGTGTTGCAACTTCAGATGTTGTATAGTAGTTTGCAATGTGTTGCAACTTCAGATGTTGTATAGCAGTTTGCAATGTGTTGCAACTTCAGATGTTGTATAGCAGTTTGCAATGTGTTGCAACTTCAGATGTTGTATAGCAGTTTGCAATGTGTTGCAACTTCAGATGTTGTATAGTAGTTTGCAATGTGTTGCAACTTCAGATGTTGTATAGTAGTTTGCGATGTGTTGCAACTTCAGATGTTGTATAGTAGTTTGCGATGTGTTGCAACTTCAGATGTTGTATAGTAGTTTGCAATGTGTTGCAACTTCAGATGTTGTATAGTAGTTTGCGATGTGTTGCAACTTCAGATGTTGTATAGTAGTTTGCGATATGTTGCAACTTCAGATGTTGTATAGTAGTTTGCGATATTTTGCAACTTCAGATGTTGTATAGTAGTTTGCGATATGTTGCAACTTCAGATATTGTATAGTAGCTTTGTATCTAGAATGGGATAGTTTGTAAATTTGATGTTAGCAATTCTGCTGTTACAATATCAGCTGTTAAAATAAGCAACTTTTCTCAACCAGTGTATGAAGTTCTGTGACTAAAATACAACAACTATGAAACTGTCTAACAGCTAACTTGCATTCAACATCATTAAAACTAGCAGTTAGCAACTCTGTGACTAGGCTGTGGCAATTCTCTTGCGATAACAGAGCGCCACTGTAGCCAATATTTGGCATTATGTATCTAGAATATTGCAACTTGGGTTAGCACCATTCTGTTTCCAGACAATAGTGTTATACTGTGCTGTAACTAGGAGTGGGAATCACATTGTCAGTTGACAAGGACTTATAACCTGTTACTGTTGCCTGTTTGTGTTTTCTAGGTCAGTTAAGGCCAGGTTTGAAGTCCTTCCTCTCCAAAGTCTGGGCAGTATAGCAGAGACCATATAACAGCTATCTGGCTTATATGTACATGTGTATCAGCTGTGTAGCTGTAATACAGTACATGTGTATCAGCTATGTAGCTGTAATACAGTACATGTGTATCAGCTATGTAGCTGTAATACAGTACATGTGTATCTGATATGTAGCTGTAATACAGTACATGTGTATCAGATATGTAGCTGTAATACAGTACATGTGTATCAGATATGTAGCTGTAATACAGTACATGTGTATCAGATATGTAGCTGTAATACAGTACATGTGTATCAGCTATGTAGCTGTAATACAGTACATGAGTATCATATATGTAGCTGTAATACAGTACATGAGTATCAGATATGTGGCTGTAATACAGTACATGAGTATCAGATATGTAGCTGTAATACAGTACATGTGTATCAGATATGTAGCTGTAAAACAGTACATGTGTATCAGATATGTAGCTGTAATACAGTACATGTGTATCAGATATGTAGCTGTAATACAGTACATGTTTATCAGATATGAAGCTGTTATACAGTACATGTGTATCAGATATGTAGCTGTAATACAGTACATGTGTATCAGATATGTAGCTGTAATACAGTACATGTGTATCAGATAGGTAGCTGTAATACAGTACATGTTTATCAGATATGAAGCTGTTATACAGTACATGTGTATCAGCTATGTAGCTGTAATACAGAACATGTGTATCAGATAGGTAGCTGTAATACAGTACATGTTTATCAGCTATGTAGCTGTAATACAGTACATGTGTATCAGATAGGTAGCTGTAATACAGTACATGTGTATCAAATATGTAGCTGTAATACAGTACATGTGTATCAGATAGGTAGCTGTAATACAGTACATGTGTATCAGATATGTAGCTGTAATACAGTACATGTGTATCAGCTATGTAGCTGTAATACAGTACATGTGTATCAGATATGTAGCTGTAATACAGTACATGTGTATCAGAAATGTAGCTGTAATACAGTACATGTGTATCAGCTATGTAGCTGTAATACAGTACATGTGTATCAGATATGTAGCTGTAATACAGTACATGTGTATCAGATATGTAGCTGTAATACAGTACATGTGTATCAGCTATGTAGCTGTAATACAGTACATGTGTATCAGCTATGTAGCTGTAATACAGTACATGTGTATCAGATATATAGCTGTAATACAGTACATGTGTATCAGATATGTAGCTGTAATACAGTACATGTGTATCAGCTGTGTAGCTGTAATACAGTACATGTGTATCAGATATGTAGCTGTAATACAGTACATGTGTATCAGATATGTAGCTGTAATACAGTACATGTGTATCAGATATGTAGCTGTAATACAGTACATGTTTATCAGCTATGTAGCTGTAATTCAGTACATGTGTATCAGATAGGTAGCTGTAATACAGTACATGTGTATCAGATATGTAGCTGTAATACAGTACATGTGTATCAGATATGTAGCTGTAATACAGTACATGTTTATCAGCTATGTAGCTGTAATTCAGTACATGTGTATCAGATAGGTAGCTGTAATACAGTACATGTTTATCAGCTATGTAGCTGTAATACAGTACATGTGTATCAGATATGTAGCTGTAATACAGTACATGTGTATCAGATATGTAGCTGTAATACAGTACATGTGTATCAGCTATGTAGCTGTAATACAGTACATGTGTATCAGATATGTAGCTGTAATACAGTTTATGTGTATCAGATATGTAGCTGTAATACAGTACATGTGTATCAGCTATGTAGCTGTAATACAGTACATGTGTATCAGATATGTAGCTGTAATACAGTAGCATAACAGAAATCTAGCGCTAGCATTTGGTCGTCTTCTTCTTCCTCTGTCTTTCTATCCCCTAATGGAGCATACCTTACTGCAGCTAATGAGCGGAAGATCATAACAACAGAGATGAGATGTTTTAGGTGTCACAAGAAGAGATTAAATCAGGAATGAAGAAATTAGAAGAAGACTAGGGCTGAAACCAATCATTCAGTTCATTAAAGAACATCAAATGAGATGGTTTGGCCACCTGAGGAGAATGCCCTGATACCAACTGCCACAGAGAGCCACTCTGAAGAAATATAATAAACACAGAGCAAGGGGAAGACCACGCAAGACCTAGAGTGACATCGTCAGGAGCTGAGCTCTCCCCCCCCCCCCACAACACCTCGCTGAGGTCAATGGTGGAAGTGAAGAAGAAGAAGAATAGAACATAGGCCCTCAACCAACTCAGGCCAAGTCATTTTGCTGTTGCATGCAGCTCTCCCCATGTCCTCCCCGTCTTTTTAACTCTAGCTCCCTTCTCCGTGTGTTTTTTTTTGGGGTCTTCCTTTATTCCTAAGCCCCTGTGGGTTCCAGTACAAAGACATTTTTGTTAAATTGTTCTCAGGTTTTCTCACCATGGGTCCTATCCAATACCAGCTTCTTTTCTTCACCTCTTGGTCCACTAGAACTTGCTTAGTTCTCTCCCAAAGCTCCATATTAGTGATTTTATCATACCATTTTGTGCTGAACAGTCTTAGGAATGGAAGCAAGTATGCTAACCCCCCTGAATACGGGAAACTATCGTGAAGGCACAGGGACTCAGGACGTGACGATCCAGTTGCCCCAACTACTCATGCTTAGGCCATGCTTAGAGCCATGAAGAGCTCAGCGAAACCTGCAGGCAATCTGGTGGCGGGGAATTAGCACACTGTGAGCCCCACCTTAGCTATGTGTTAAAGGGGAAGGCAGAAAGAAACACAGCCCATATTTCCTTTAGAACTGGTACAGGGCATTTCTAGCTGCTGCCCGGGGAGGTAGGTAATCCACAGACACCCCAGCACCACAATGCCATAAATATCATACCATTTAATTCCCTCTGTTCTGTGCATAGCATTTGGTAGTAGTGCTATATAACAACAGTGAAGCAATCATTCTGTGTGTTAAAAGATAACTCAGTTCATATCTTCACATCTAGATGGCTACTTCTAGGCTTCAAGCGAGAGTTCAACTACGCCGACTCACTGAGGTGCTTTGAGATTCTTTCCAGCCACCACTTGGAGCTGTCCAGCTTGGAAACTGAGAGAACTGTCATGCGTGAGGAGATGAGAGAGTTTGAAAATACAGGTGAGACTTCTACCTGTGGACTTGTTTGTAACTCTTACTCTTTTCATGTCACAGTGTCTCTTATTGCTAATCTAGTTTGTCACCTTATTTCCAGGTGAGTTGAGGTCTGTTAATTCTTTCTAGGGCCAAAAAAATACAGTTACTTGGAGGTCTGAAACCCTAATCGCATCCAAATAGAACTTCTACCAGTGGACCCACTATTGTTGTGTTGGAATCATTTCAGTGAAGGATCTTTGGGAATAGAGTACATCTTAGCCATTGTGTTCAGCCTAATCTCTGATCTTCTCCTGGAAGGCAAATGATGCGAAGAAAACCAGTGTCAGGCATTGACAGTAACAGCAACAGTCAAAAGAGCAATCCAAACAGCAGATTTGACATGTCTGCTGTGAATCCTACGTGTAACTAGAAGAGAAAATATTAGAAATGATATCGGGAAACAAGTTGGGGCAGAACCATGCTAAACTGCACAAAGAAAAAACAGATCATGTAGTTCCGACATGTCAGTATATTAAAAAAAAAAAAATAACATGTGCTGATTGGCACTCATAGAAAGATAAAAGGACGTACTAGCAACACTAACATTGAAAGTCATAAAGTCCATGCCAGGCATTGAACTCGTCACCTCCAACCGATGACAGAGCCTCAGTGCAGAAACAGGCACACCAAGATGCCTGACCAACTGTACACCCTCAAAAGATGTCTTCATTAGTCATGTCTATGGAAAAGCTTGAATGTGGATTGTGGAATACAGACATGTGTTAAGACTATCATAACAGACATGTGTTAAGACTATCACAACAGACATGTGCCAAGACTATCACAACAGACATGTGCCAAGACTATCACAACAGACATGTGTTAAGACTATTACAGTGTCGTGTACCACAGAAATTAGTTACCATGGAAATGAGATGTCTGAGAAAGACTGTAGGAGTGACCAGAAGAGATAAAATCAGGAATGAGGTCATACGAGATAAAGTTGGCACTTAACCTATTCTAAATTACATATAAAGACAGCAGATCAATTGGTTTGTCCACTTGGAGAGAATACCTTCTGATACTATACCATACAAGGCATATAGCAAAAGAGGAGAGGGACATAGAGCAAGAGGTAGACCAAGAGCAATATGTGAAGATAACATCGAGAAACTCTGCAGCACCACAGTGTGTCTGTGGTCAAGTCAGCCAGAAGAGCACGAAGCAGGACCTTATACCTTCCTTGACACCCAAAGCGGTAAAAGAGGACATAGAGAAGAAGAAGAAGAAGTGTACCACAGAAAACCCTGTCACTACAGAGTTTAAGCAGAACTAGAGGTTGCCTATGGCGGCGGCGATGGTTAGATGGAATATCGAAGGCCATGAATACCAGCATCAGCTGAACACACCACAACTCGCACCAGATGCCTTTTCTTAACCTAATACTGAACAGAAAAACACATGGTCTGTAGAAAAGAAGAAGAAAAACTACAAGGAGTGGATTAGTGACTTCAGCTCCTTTTGCCAAGGAAGGTCTCCTGGATTAGCACCTGGAATGTTTGAACTGATAATACGGAGAGGACATGGATGGCATTGAAGAAAGTGGCTTAGGTAAGAACACTTGACTGAGTTGGTACAAGGCATTTAATTCACATGGAATAAGAAGCAGAAGACTAGGAAGGACCCTAAAATTATGTCATGATTTTACCAGGCTGTTTGTCACTATGCTAATGATAATCACTATTGAGTTAAGCCAACAGCTGACATCACAGCACTCAGGTCATTCCCTTGAGTGCTCCCTACTCATCTTTGGCAGCCAACAAAGAGTTCCAGTTCTGATGGTGCCTGTAGCAGTTTGATTGATTAAACATCTGTCTTGCCTTTCCTCTGAGTTTCGAGTGATGACCAAATCCCCTAATCAATCCTAGCGATACAGTCCTCTCCAGACCAGAGTGATCTATTTGTGCCTCTGCATTGTTCACTTGCTTCCAAAGGGCTTTGACTACGTCTGTCTTGTCATGCATTCATTGATCACCCATTAGTGCACCACCAGCCAGTCTGTCTACCTGTTCATTCCCCAACACTCCTGCATTTGGCTGAGAAAATATTCAAGGTGCGCTAACTAATCACTGTTTTTGTTTCCCCAGGGGGTGACACAAGAACCACTGGACTGACCACACAGAAAGAATACACATTTGAGGTGTTTATGTGTGCCACGGTGCTGACAGAATGCAGGGATGAGTTCTTCAAATGTCACGAGTGTGGACAAGTATTCAGTTTTCTCAACGGGTGAGTCACCTCATCTGCTACCTCTGATACAGTTAGGATACTCACCCACCTTTGTGATCGTCAAGTGCTTTTGTCAGTCAACATGGGCGACCATGCCTCTCCACAACCTGTGGTCTCCAACAGCATGTGCTGAGGCCCCTCCACAACCTGTGGTCTCCAACAGCATGTGCTGAGGCCCCTCCATGCCATGAAAACAGTGGTCAAGAATCTATTCAGGTTTTCTGCCTCAATTTCTCTTTCCATAAATCTTTCCAGTTGTCACATGTTCCATAGTTTTCTTCTAAATCATTTGGTCAAATAATGATAACTGCCTCTGTTGGATGTTTGTGTTAAATAGTTCAAAGCTCTTCTTCTTCTTCTTCAGCATTCCGAGACCTTGAGGTTCACTGCAGATATCACCCGCCTCCATTCATCTCTCTTGTTGGCCTTTTTCTTTAGCATTCTGAGCCCTTGAGGTTCATTGCTGCAGATATCACCCGCCTACATTCATCTCTCTAGTTAGCCTTTTTCTTCAGCATTCAGAGCCTTTGAGGTTCACTGCAGATATCACTTGCCTCCATTCATCTCTCTGGTTGGCCCTCTCTTTCCAGTTGGTGACACCAAGTGTTTTGCAGGTGTGTCTGGATGTTATCTCTCCATCGTCTTCTTGGTCTGCTTCGTTGTCTACGACCATTCATCTCCCTTGCGTATACAGTTTTTAACCTCTCTGTCATGTAATGTTCTCTCATTATGCCCTAGCCGTTTCAAAACAAGTCGTAAGACTGTATTTTAAAATATGTAATAAGACTTAATCTCTTTTAGTTGTGCTCCAAGTTTCAGAACTATATAAATGACTGGTCTTATCAACGTTTTATATATTTTGATCTTGGTACTGCGAGATAGAGACTTTGAATTTAGCAGTTTTTGAAGCTTGTCACCAGCCTTACTAATCTAAAATGTTGCTAATGAAAAGAGATGGAAAGATAATAGCTTTCAAAAGCACAATCTATAGTGAGGCAGCCAGAAGAGGCAGAACCAGAACTTTATGTCTCCCTTGACACCCCAAGTGGTTAAAAAAAAAAAGCAGTGAAGAAGAAAAACTGGTAGTAATTAAGACTGCCATCGACATATTTGACAATGAGATTTGACTGCAGTCAACATGTTTAACAGTGACATAATCAGAATGAGATTTGGCTGGCAATGACATATTTGACAATGAGATTCAACAGTGAAGTATGAAAACCACATTTCAGAACTGAAAATTGAGACTACAAATTGCATTGTTTTTTTTTTTCCTTTTCAGGCTAAAGTTTGACCTTGAGTCACTGCTGACGAAATCTGAAAGGTTGTTTTATGTGTACTGCAAGAAAACGGTCGGAGAAAGCTTCCAGATGGTTGACAATAAACTTGATTCCGTGGACAAGCCAGGTTTTTTCTCATTTATATTCAGATGAGATTTTTGCTTCATCATTTGTTTCATTGAATTGTTTATTCTACCAGTGGTGGCTATGAAATATAGCTTGCATTTTGACATGTTTTTATATAAATGTTTTGATTTGACAAGCCTGTTTCTGAGGGTTAACACAGAAGACTATTTTTATTTTAATGTTTTTATTTTTTAGATGTTATATTTTTGTACAAGAAAACAGAAAACAGAGGGCCAACAAGATAAATGACTAAACAAAATATGAGCGTGCTCATACATTTATTATTCATACCAAATTTGCGCTATCACTGTCACACATTGTTGGTCCTAGAAAAGCATAAGTACAAAATTACAGCATGTGAGATTAAATGTTTGAGAAATGTGGTGGGGAAAACAAGCAGAGATGGTCTCATCAATGAAGAATTCGGAACAATGTTAGCCACAGTACCAGTAGATGATTTCATTGATCATCAGAGAATCAAATGGTTTGGTTATCTGGTCAGAATGCAGCAAACTTGGTCAGCAGGTAGAGCTGACTACATGAAAGCAGAAGGCTACAAGGCAATAGGCCGACCAAGAGCGAGAGGGATGGGGAAGTAAAAGAGATACTGCAGAGAATGGGTTTTGGGTTTGATTATTCATACAGCAGATTGTTATGATTTACCTTTGTTTGGCTTCTTGGTTGACCCATGAGTCCTGGTAAGTAAATGTGGTTGCAGTAATTTTGACTACAATACCCACATTCTCCCACACCCACAGACTGACACATCCACACTCTCCCACACCCACAGACAGTACCACAGAATACCACACCCATATTCTCTGGCAATCACAGATTATCACACCAACATTCTCCCACACCCACAGACACATCCACATTCTCCTACACCCACAGACTGACAGTACCACAGACTACCACACCCACATTATCCCGCAGTCACAGACTACCACACCCACATTATCCCGCAGTCACAGACTATCACACCCACATTATCCCACAGTCACAGACTACCACACCCACATTATCCCGCAGTCACAGACTATCACACCCACATTATCCCACAGTCACAGACTATCACACCCACATTATCCCACAGTCACAGACTACCACACCCACATTATCCCACAGTCACAGACTACCACACCCACATTATCCCACAGTCACAGACTATCACACCCACATTATCCTGCAGTCACAGAATACCACACCCACAGACTACCACACCCACATTATCCCGCACCCACAGACTACCACACCCACATTCTCCCGCACCCACAGACTACCACACCCACATTCTCCTGCACCCACAGACTACCACACCCACATTATCCCGCACCCACAGACTACCACACCCACATTATCCCGCACCCACAGACTACCACACCCACATTCTCCCACACCCACAGTGTTATTTGGTCTAAAATAAATGTGCTTCTAGCACAATATACCAACAGCATGAAAAGCCTCCTGACTTTTTTTGTGTTTTGTTTTTTGTCTTGAGCTTCGTTGCCTGTTTGTCCTCATGTGTTCTCATGAAATATACCAATAGAGGGTTTAGGAGGACATCCTGTATTCAGGTCCTAGCTTGTGTTCTGAATGTATTATCATGAAAGTCTGTCTGCTTGTTCACAAGATCAGTTTGAAAAGTGTGGGATAACAATGTGGATAACAAAACAGCTTGTGTCACAGAAAGTTGTTTGGCTCTCAATATGGAAGACCAGTTTGGCACGAAATTGAAAGATTTACCAGTTATTTCTGTCATGGTGTAAATGCAATTAAAGAATACAGTGTAGCAGTATAACATTTTATTATTTTTATTTTTGTTTCATAATGTGGTGTTAGAAAGTGGAAAAATGGGCCTCAGTTTGAAGTAATGGTGATATCAAAGAAACGAATTATTCCTAAATGTGTAATAAAAGTCGAAGGTGCTATTTTAGGACAAATACAGAAATTTAAGTATCTGGGCACATGGATAACATCAGATGGAAGATGCATAACTGAGATAAGAAACAGAATAGGACAGGCAAAAACTGCATTTTATAAAATGAAAAACATCTTGTGCAATACATCCTTGTCATTGAGAGTTTGAAAAAGAATTCTTGCTTGCTACATACATCTAGTTTTAACATATGGTTGTGAATCCTGGACAATCGGTAGGCAGGCCAAACAATTTCTGAAGGCCTCAGAGATATGGTTTTACAAAAGAATGCTTAGAATACCTTGGACAGCCAAAAAGAGCAACCAAGAGGTTTTGAAAGAGGCGGGAGCCCGAAGACAACTTATCACAGACATCAGAAGGAGACAGTCATCCTTTTTTGGCCATGTTATGAGAAGAGGGAAAATAGAACATGTGACCACTGGAAAGATTTGTGGAAGGAGGGATAGAGGAAGACAACGAGAGAAAATGCTTGACAGTCTTGTTGCATGGCATGGAGGTGTGTCGGCACACGAACTGATACATGCTGCAGGAGATCGCAGATTATGTAGAGGCATGATCACCCACGCCAGTCGGCAAGGCACCTGATGATGATGATAATGTGTGCTTAGTGCAGTGAAGCATAGAATAATATACCACAATTTTTGATTTGAGAATGGAGCTGGAGGCAGTCACAACAGCTGAGAACAAGCTGCACATGCATGTAGTAATTGAAACTGACTCGAAAAGCATGCCGAGAAAGGTGGGCTGCATGCAGAGCTGCAAATATCGCTTCAGAGGTCCCCGGTAGTTAACATCCTTTGAATCTTTTGTCCGGGATATGCAAGTGTGTTGGGAAATAGACAGAATCCTAGAAATATATAAGACCCCCTTGAGAGTAAGTAAATAATTCAGAGACCCAAACAGACCCTTATGGTGAGGAGAGAATTATGCAGCTATTGTGGGCATGTCTTGAGTGCTGTGGTGTCTGTTCTTATCTCAACTGAACTGTGCCTGCTTTTTGTTTGATATTGATATTGGTGTTTTTTTTTTATTATTTGATTGTCGTTGTTGTTATTTCACTGTCATTGCTTATGTTGTCAAATCATTATGGTAATTATTGTTTAAATTTCTGTGTTTGCCTAAGAGGCAAGTTACCAACAGTCTGCACACAAATAAGCCAGGTCTGTAAAACAGATCTTCTTCTTCAGCATTCCGAGCCCTCGAAGTTCATTGTTGCAGATATCACTCGCCCCATCCATCTCTCTGGCTGGTCTTCTCTTTCCAGTTGGTGACACCAAGTGTTTGCAGGTCTGTCTGGACATTATTTCTCCATCTTCTTCTTGGTCTGCCTCTTGGTCTACGACCATTCATCTCCCTTGTGTATACAGTTTTTACTTCTCTGTCATCTGACATTCTTTCAATATGCCCCAGCTATTTCAGTCTATTAGCTCTCATGATGCCAGTGATCAAACTGATCACTGATTGAACAGATTATGAATATTATTCATTGTTGCTTCTCACTCTCCATTCTCTGCTGTTTGCATCTTTGATGAGTCCTAAGATTTGTCATAAGACTCAGTTTTTGAAAATCTGTAATAAGGCTTCATATAAAAACAGATGTTCATTCAAAACTCTGGTTCTGGAACAAGTGCTAGAAGTGGAAGAACAGCCAGAACTCTCCACTATAATTTACAGTCGGTGAATAAAAGGAAGAACGACCGTTAACTGTTAAAGGTGAGGAGACAGTCGACAATAGTCTACATTCTTTGATAACATCACAAGAAGGAACACAAGTGTAGTATTTTCTGACAATGGGAATGTCGGAGATAAAAAGAAGCAAAGAGTGGCCGAGAGAGAAGATGCTGGCCAGTCTGACGTCATGGCATGAAAGATCATCTGTGTTAGATGACTGAAAATACACGGACAGTGTTTTCGATAGACCTTACTACCAACGCCACACGGCGTGGACGATATAAAGCTTTTAAGGGACGTAAGAATGACTCCGTTAGCTTCTGAATGCTTATCTCCCCTTGAGTTGTGTACGTCATCTGCATAGAGCTCTTTGTGAGGCATGGACGCCAGTCATGGTCAAAAGGAGGGTGAAATCAAGAGATGGACGAACAGCAATCTGAAAGAGTTGGTGCAAACAAGAGCCAGAGAATACTGGAGATCCAATACAGCCAATCTACAAGACTTAGACGGCAGATAACTGACAGAAAACACCTCTTTTATTCAAACCAGTTAGTATTTTCCCCTAATGAATTCAAATAATACTTACTAATCGTAAGTTTGCCCTAATGTAAATGTATAACTGGTGTATGCTGGATCGAGTTTTAGAGGTCTGCTCCACTTTGATTCTCATCCTTCATGAGTTAATACTTATTCTTCTTCTCCTACTTGTTCTTCCTCTTTTTCTCCTCCTTCTTCTCCTCCTTTTTCTTCTTCTTCTTCTTCTCCTCCTCCTCCTTCTTCTTCTTCTTCTTCTTCTTCTTCTTCTTCTTCTTCTTCTTCTTCTTCTTCTTCTTCTTCTTCTTCTTCTTCTTCTTCTTCTTCGTCTTCTCCTTCTTCTTCTTCTTCTTCTTCTTCTTCTTCTTCTTCTTCTTCTTCTTCTGCTTTTGCTTCTTCTTCTTTTTATTCTTTTTTTTTTTCTTCTCAGTAAATCCCTCAGTTTATAGCTACTGATGACACCCGTTTTGTGTTGGTTTCTTTTATTCTTATTTGGTTCCTGCATAGTGCTCTTGTCTGGCCACACCCCTTTTAACATGTTGTTCGTGCAGTCTGGTCATGGTTGCAGATTGACAGTCATCACTTGGCTCTCGCAGACCTCTTCTCGTAAAACATTCAGAATATCTACCTGGTTCGTGGCTCGTCGGCCTTGCTCATAACTTTACCTGCCAGCCTATCAGCTTGCTCACTTCCTTACACACCCGTGTGCACGAATATGACACTGAATACTGTTGTTCTGGTTGTTCGTCCACTTATGGACTTAAGGTGTTTTTTTGGTGGGGGGGGGGGGGCCTCCAGAACTTGATTTTTTTACGTGAACATCCGTTTTATAAATGTTGTTTATTTGTATGCAGACTGTTGGTTCCTTGCTTGTGAGGCAGAT